GATAACTGCCAAGGTAGCCCGGGTGGGGTGGGGGAGGAGGGAAGGACAAGGTCACACTGCACTTTAAAACTTAAAAACTTTAAAACTTATTGAATGCCAGCCTTCTGTTGCTTGGGCAATCCTCTGGGGTGGAGTGGCTGGGTGGCCGGAGGCCCCCCCCCCACCACGTTCTTGGGCGTCTGGGTGAGGAGGCTATGGACCTTGGGGAGGAGGGTGGTTGGTTACACAGGGGCTGTAGTGGCAGTCTGTGCTCCTGCTGCCTTTCCTGCAGCTCAACCATATGCTGGAGCATATGAGTTTGATGCTCCAGCAGCCTGAGCATTGACTCCTGCCTTCTGTCAGCAAGCTGACGCCACCTATCATCTTCAGCCCACCACTTACTCTCTTCAGCCCGCCACCTCTCCTCGCGTTCATATTGTGCTTTCCTGCACTCTGATATTGTCTGCCTCCATGCATTCTGCGGTGCTCTGTCAGTGTGGGAGGACAGCATGAGCTCAGAGAACATTTCATCCCGAGTGCATTTTTTTTTTGCCTTCTAATCTTCGCTAGCCTCTGGGAAGGAGAAACATATGCAGCTGGTGGAGGGAAAAAAAGGGAGAGTGGTAGTTAAAAAGACACATTTTATAGAACAATGGGTACACTCTTTCATGGCAAACCTTGCTGTTAACATTATATAGCACATGTGCTTTTGTTACAAGGTCGCATTTTGATGGCTTCACCCCTCCCCCCACCACAGGCAAACAGCCCAGCAGGAACGGGCACCTCTGAATGTCCGCTTAATAAAACCACCCTATTTCAACCAGGTGACCATGAATGATATCACTCTCCTGAAGATAACACGGAGAGATAAAGAACGGATGTTGTTTGAATGCCAGCAAACACTGGGACCATATGCTGCAATGCTTTCTTCTGCAATGATTCCCGACTACATGCTACTAACCTGGCGTGGTAAAGTGTCCTACCCTGGAGGACGGAATAAGGCTGCCCTCCCCAGAAACCTTTTGCAAAGGCTTTGGGAGTACATCCAGGAGAGCTTTATGGAGATGTCCCTGGAGGATTTCCGCTTCATCCCCAAACACGTTAACAGACTTTTCCAGTAGCTGTACTGGCCACGAATGCCAGGGCAAATTAATCATTAAACATGCTTGCATTTAAACCATGTCTAATATTTACAAAGGTACACTCACCAGAGGTCCCTTCTCCGCCTTCAGGGTCCAGGAGCCCGCCTTGGGTGGGTTCGGGGGTTACTGGCTCCAGGTCCAGGGTGAGAAACAGATCCTGGCTGTTGGGGAAACCGTTTTCTCTGTTTCCTTGCTGTGAGCTATCTTCAACCTCCTCCTCCTCCTCCTCCTCCTCCTCCTCATCTTCCTCGTCCCCAAAACCCGCTTCCATGTTGCACCCTACTCCACTGATGGAGTCAAAGCACAGGGTTGGGGTACTGGTGGCTGCACCCCCTAGAATGGCATGCAGCTCATCATAGAAGCGGCATGTTTGGGGCTGTGACCTGGAGCGGCTATTTGCCTCTGTTTTTTTGGTAGGCTTGCCTGAGCTCCTTAATTTTCACACAGCACTGTTGCGAGTCCCTGTTATAGCCTCTGTCCTTCATGCCCTTGGAGATTTTTTCAAATGTTTTGGCATTTCATTTACTGGAACGGAGTTCAGCTAGCACGGATTCGTCATACAGCGATCAGATCCCATACCTCCCATTCGGTCCATGCTGGAGCTCTTTTGCGATTCTGGGACTCCATGGTCACCTCTGCTGATGAGCTCTGCATGACCACCTGTGCTGATCAGCTCGCAACGCTGGCCAAACAGGAAATGAAATTCAAAAGTTCACGGGACTTTTCCTGTCTACCTGGCCAGTGCATCTGAGTTGAGAGCGCTGTCCAGAGCGGGCACAATAGAGCACTCTGGGATAGCTCCCGGAGGCCAATACCGTCAAATTGCCGATGTCAGCGCTAATCCTCTTGTCGGAGGTGGAGTAAATTAATCGATTTTAAGAGCCCTTTAAGTCGAAAAAAAGGGCTTCGTCTTGTGGACGGGTGCAGGGTTAAATTGAGGCAACGCTGCTAAATTCGACCTAAAATCGTAGTGTAGACCAGGCCTGAGAAGTGACTGTAGAAAGGGATACAACAAGGAGTCTGGTGGCACCTTAAAGACTAACAGATTTAGAAAGGGATATTGTGGATAAAAATGGCATCGAGTTTTTTCCTCTTTCAATAATTCTGTCACATATGGTCACTTAAAAGTGAACAGGTGCTGTTTCTACCATACCTGCTGGAAGTCAAGTTGGGGTTCGTTCTTCTGCATCATCACCAGCAAGAGCCTAACTGACTTGCAGAAATGTTACCTTTGTACCATCCCATTGTCTCGACATTATACCTCCAGTTGCCTTCACTGGGCTCATGCAGGCATAAGTGAATACAATTTGGTATACAATGCTGTTCACTCTGCACAATATGGAACAGCTTCCAGGATGAAATCCTGCACTATGAAGTTAGAGTTTTGCTATTGACTTCAGTGGGGCCAGGATTTCATCCCAGGCCTGCCTTTTTAATAGTGGGTTGGTTCTGCCGTGCCAACAGGAGTAAAACAGTGAGTACAATGTTTTCTACTGAAAGCGAGTTGGTATGGCTCTGAATGTACACAAGGAGCAGACTGGGTGACTAGGAATGTAACATTTATTTTTAAATGTAGAACCATGCTTTAAAAAAATAGACAGTTAAGATGAACTTTTTCTCCATCCAGTACCGAACCCCTAGCCTATATTTTATGCTCCCTGGGAACAATGACAGTTTCACAAAAATTCTACATTATTTTCTTGGTTCATCAGCTGGACACACAAATTTTCAGGGGGATTTCATGGGTCCCTTATGTGAAAACTTTTCCGAGAATTTTTCTGCCCCACACACTTCTATATATTGTATTTGCAAATGTATAAACAACAAATAAATATTAGACTTTTAAATGCATGTGTAACTGAACACAATGTGCATGTAAATTCACAAATAAGTGGGTCGTTATTTGTGCACACACAAATGTGAACATTAGTTTTTTAAAGACTAGGCCAAAATAACAGTATGGCTTAGCAGTACTAACATTGAAAGTGATAACTAATAGGGTTAATGGAGATAGTTTTTTCTTTCCAATTCAACAGAAAAAGAAATAGGACGAACAATATGTGCATTAGCTCATGTATTATATTTATCTTACCTTACTGGCTTTTGAAATGATTAATATGTATTGTACAAATAAAAGCACCATATCATCATCCAGAAAGTCATATAGATTTTCTGTATTTCCTATTATATACTGCTTTGATGAAAAAGTTTTCCATTAGTTCTCTGAAAATAAAGATCCTGAAAGCAAGATTGGTTCTCAAGTGTGTATGTAAAGAGAAGAACTGGTTAAAGTTGAATTAATGTTATTGATTCCAGATGAATGAACTACAGCAGAAAATAAAAGATAAAACCCAAAAGATGATGGCTCTTATTGCAGAGTTATCCATGAAGCAAGCAATTACCATTAAACTGCAACAGGAAATGAGGGACAAAGAACAATTTTTGCTGACTGTCTCATCAAGGATAGAGAATGGTCTCCCTCCTCCTAAAGAAACAGAGATTGAGTGGATGAAGGTATTGCGCAATGAGGAGATGCATAAAGCGGCAGCCGAAGCCAGAGAAAAGGTAGGCTTTTGTCATATGGTGCAATTTGGGATTCATTCACATTGTTCCAGTTCGTTTATTTTTTTCAAGGGCTTTGCTGTGTGGCTTCTTATTGGCCATCTCCCATTCTCCATAGTTTGGGGGAGGGGAGTCTTCTTGAAGAATAGGGCAAGACTGACCCATGCTCGTGGAAGAGCTTATTGCCAAGCTGCTTTGTGGAGAGTCACAACAGAAGTCCTGCATACTGTATATAATGAAAACTCACCAATTGGTCAGCTGGTGTCTAGTGCTAAAAGGAAGCTGTACGTGTCAGTTTAAACACTGTAATTATTTTGATGGTGGCAAGCTAGAGGAGCACTGATCTTTTCAGATAATATACTGAGGATTCAGTTTCAGGATGATAGCGCAGAGGAAGAAACTAACCCAACCTTTTTTTGTAGGAGCTTGTAGATGCTAGACTGGCAGAGACAAAGGGAGATTAGATTGCTAGATGGCAGTGGGCAGGAAGAGCACATGGGAAAATGTTGCAAGTTCCTTAATGGGCAGCTTGCCTCCTTAAAACCAACTGGGACAACCAGTGATCTGTAGGGGGAGAGTTCACACTAAGTAGGGGCAGTATTATAAAAAGATGTCCTGTTTGTATGAGGTTCCCTCAACCTCTGGCTCACCAGGCAGGGGCAAAGTACAATTTCAGTAGAGTATTTACAGCACTCCTGACAGCACTAGCCTCCCCAAGGGCTGGATGAAGGCAGGCCATGGGCTTTCCACCTCTCTCTGGCAAAAACTTCCTGAGCATGGAGGAGAGTGCACAGTGCACCCATTTAAAGAATATGCTGCCTTGAGGCCAAGGAAGGTTTCCCCAGCAAAACTGCTTTGGAATTAGACACTTCTGTGGAGTTAACAGTTTCCCCCATGTTATGACAGCCACTTCAATATTCTGTACCTCAGTTTCCTCGTTTGTCAAAATGGGGATATTAGTACAGTAGTATTCTTTGTAAAGTGCTTTGATCTATGGCTGAGAAGTGGTAAATGGAGTTCTAAGTACTGTCTTCGCCATGACTTGTGAAACAGACTGTCAGTGTTATATCAGATTAAAATGTGTTTCTTCACAGCGTGCTGCAGAAGAGGAACAGTATGCCTCGCCAAATAGTATCTATACAACAGCGGAGCAGCGCCCCAACGCATACATCCCAGACAATGAAAATGTTCTCCCTTTGCCACGTCCCTATGGTGCTTTGGCTCCTTTCAAACCAACTGAACCTGGTTCAAATATGAGACACATAAGAAAACCTATTGTAAAGCCAATTGAAATCTGAACAAGTGATTTTCATCTAAATCATAAGTCCAGTAGTAGCAACTGAATATGCAAAGCCAACGGCTTTTAATATTGTAAATGTTTTTAAATGTTTGCTAGCAGTTTGCCAAAATATTCACACTGTAAACAAAGTATTTTTAAAGAAGGTAGTATAGTTAAATAGTCCCTGTAGCTAATGGGGGTTCAGTATGCAAAACATAGCACTGTTTTGAAATGTTAAGAGGAGTGAACAATAATCAAAATTGGTTTTTAACTTGTTAATAAATGCTTATAAAGTACAAACAGGTACAATAAACAAGAGAAGATGATGTAGCTTTTCTTTTTAATATTAACATAATTGAACTATGACCTTATTCATTATACAAATAAATCAATATGGGGAGCAGTTTGGACTGAAGATAATTGTCAGGCATGTCTGTTTAAATAAAAAAAATGCCCTTTCTCTCACTACAGACCAGTGAGAAAGCTAATCCTCCTTTATCACTGATGGCAACCGTAGTAGAGGGAACAAGTCCCATTATTGAGAAGGAGCAAGAGGAGAAGAAAGGGTGAATGCTCTTGCATACTGAGAAGTAAAGTGTAAGAAGGGCCCTGTTTCTGGGAGTGGAATCTCTCTCATTCAGCACCACAAAATAGGTACACAAGTTTGGGAACATACTCCCCTATTTGAAACTATGCTGAGAAAAGATAACAGAGGTAGTTATACAGAGAGCTTGAGAAACATACTGGAATTAAAAAGAAAAAAGTAACATCAAATTCATTCTAGTTTACTACTTCTGAAACTTTGGCACACTTTCTTACCCAGTAACTGGAAGTACATCTGTTCCATGCTAATTCAGCATGTCTGAAGTTCACAAATTTTCCCTGTTTGGTACCAAAACACTACTTTTTAAAAAATTGCTGTTATAGCTCACAGCTAAAAAAATAAATGGGGTAGGTCAGTTCTGTATCATATCGCTGGGACCTGAAGGGAAAAAATCTAACACTTGATCTAAAAACATTTAAAGTCATAGGGGCAGAATTAAATACAATTCGTCAAAGCCACTGTAACGATAAGTTTCCAAAGAAGCTTTCTTCTCCTGCTGTATTGTACAGTACATTATAAACATCAGGAAAGATTCTTATACACATTACAGCGAGAGCAAATATTTTAAAACCCAACTCCAAAGGCATGGGGGCAGTACTGTAAAGAGATGTACCGGCTGTATGAGGAATTTATACATCTTTATTAATACATTATATACAAAGAGTTACTCCGCATTTGTTGCCTCTAGCCTATACTACGCAATCTCAAAGAAATCCTTTATACATCAGTGCAATAACAGCTGCCAATTTCTCATTATTTCGCAATGTAATTGGACTGTTCTTTTTTAAGAAATGTCTTGCCTGTAAGAGTAGTATTAGAATAAAAATAAAATTCTAAAGAAACTTTTCCCACCATATTCTGAAACTTTCTACACCTACTCCTGTTCAGCCATTCCACAGTGTAAAACTGAATAATAAAAACATATTTAGCTGGAGAGCAGGGTCTGTATCAGATATATATTTTCCCCCCAGCTCCAATCCTTTATCTTCCTTGTATTTACTAGCAAGTCTTCAATTTCAGTCTAGTCCCTCCTCAATACATCCATGAGTAGAGTGGAGCATATGTTATTTTGGGCAGCCTTTTACTAGTTAATGGTTGCAACCGAAAACTGGGAGCCTTTAATATGACATTTGTTTTAGAAATATTAACAATTTTTGAGAAGTATTAAACACTGGAATTTTAGTTGCAAATATGCTTGTTGAAATAGTGATATACGTAGGAAGACTGACATGCTTTTTGAAGTAACCCAATATATTTTAGCAGTACTACAGGCCTAAAAGCATCATGGTGTGTTTCAGTGCTGTTTCCTCTACGAATTTTGCATTCACATTGTCTTCTTCCTCAAATGGATTCAGACCTGGAAAAGTACATTGAGAACATCAGCATTTACACAATGAGTGTTCTTCTGCACCAATACTTTCAATCCCAAGGACACCATGACCAACATTTTCAATCTGAGGTAACCAAAGTTAGGATTAAAATGTGTTTTCATAGATGTGGAGCCCTCCTCCTGCAACTTTCATTGATTTCACTTGGATACTCAGCATCTCTGAAATTCAAGCCCTCAGTTTTTAAAAGTTTTGGCCCTACTTTTTTTCATAAAGACAAAAAAATTTCTCGGAAGGACTCAGGGCTAGATTCACCAAGTTTCGTAAGCATTATAATGCCTCACTATTAGGCACGCTGCCGCCTACTGGAATTCTCAGCTCCAAGTTAGGTACCCCAGCTCCTCATACAGTACATGGAAAGAGTTCAATGCCAAAGAAAGATTCTCAGAATCCAGCACGCTGAGTGGGGAGCCACCTAAGGAAGCAGGGAGAGAAATGCAGAGAAAAAGACATGGGGGCTTAGGGCCCAGATCCACAAAAGCACTTTGGCACCTGACTCCCATTGATCTCGGCTTTACCCACCTGACTGATGAGCCAGAGGGAGAGGTTTCCCTCCATTTAGGTATCTCAGCTGCAAACCCTTTCTCGGAATTAGGTGCCTAAGCCAGGTCAGCCCTTTCTTGCAAAAAGGCAGACACAGACACACCCACCCACCTCATTATACCCAGTACTTAGGGTACTCACCTAGGATATAGGAGACCTGGGTTCAACTTCCTGCTCCAAAGCAGGCAGAGCAGGGATTTGAATCTGGGTCCCCCACATACCAGGTAAGTGCCCCAATCACTAGGCTACTGGGCATTCTGGGGTGGACCTCTCTCCATCCCCCTCTGAGAGGTAGTCCACTTGGTATAAATATTTAAATATTCACTGGGCAGAGAGAGAAAGAGTGACTGTACAGCCTGGTGATTAGGGCACTTGCCGAGGATGTGGAAGAGTTAGGTTAAAATCCCTGCTCCAATAATATTTATTTATACAAAAATGAAACAGCTCCAAATAAGAGATTGAGAGAGACCCATCCCAGAATCCCTTATAACCTGGTGGTTGGGACTTACCCGGCATGTAGGAAAACTGGGTTCAAATCCCAGCTCCAAATCTAACAGAGCAAGAATCTGAATCTGGAACACCCACACCCCTGAAAAATTCCCGACCTGCTTGCCCCTGGCTGTCTTCTGTGTGGGCCTGACCCTACAGGTGCACTCTGAGCACACCTACAGGATTGGGCTGCATCAGAGAGGTAGGCAGGGAAACACCTTGTTTGAGAATCTTGCTGGGGCTTCGGTTTGAGCATGGGCTTCAAGCAGCTCATTAGCTGTTGGGCAGCGTCAGAACTTAGGTGGCTTTGAGCATGCCCACGTGTAGAATGTAGGTACCTATGGGGATTTAATCACCTACAGGGTTAGGTGGCAGCTGAGAAGTGATTTTGCACATGTCAATGGAGCCAAAATGTTGGGCTTAAGTGACTAACTACCTCTCTAGATGCCTAAGTACCTTTGTGAATCTAGCCCATAAGGTCTGATCCAGTGTCCATTGAAGCTAATGGGAGCTTTACTATTGACTTCTATGGTTGTTTTTTTTAAAAAACAGACTCATAGAACCTTTAAAGTCTGTATCAATATAATATCAGGTCATAAGATTGAGTCTGTCAGCCACTTTTATCTCAGGATACCAGGTCAAATCCTGGAGATTTTACACAGGCAAAACTCTGAAATCAATGGAAGTTTTGCTTGAGTGTAAATTGAATAAGGACTTATAGAAAGTGGCCCTGGTATTGTCAGTTTCATAATACTGTTACATGAAATTGCAAGCAATGTAATTTAGGGGGGAAACTGTCTCAGTAATTGTGGATTTGATTAACATTTAACCTTGGCTGCTTTCCAGATTGTAGCAGATTGTGCTGACCCCTTTCAAAGTTGGCAGCACCAGTCTGCTTTTTACTGGGACATAAACAGAACATATCCCACAGGGAGGAGACCCAGAGACTCTACAAGATGCACTGAAGACTTTGCTATTAATTTTATGTTAGAGGCACTCAGTTGACAATACAGATAGGCACCAGTATAAACCTTAAAATAGATTAAAACGGTCAATGGGATTTAGTCTCCTAAGTGCCTAAAATTCTTTTTTTAAATTCTATTTAGGATCCTAAATCAGCTAGACATTGCAACACTGAGTGCAGCAATGCCTGAATACCTTTAAAAATCTGGGCCTAAACCCTTTAAGGCCAGGGATTTAGGATTCCCAGAAGGATTATGTCACCATAAGGGAACCATGGGACAGAAATGCCAGAACTATATAAAAAGCTGGCTCAGAAAGGGAGAGACCTACAAGGGAGTAGGTGGTGAGATGTGGAGACAGGTTTTCACTAAGAAAGCTACGGAAGCAGTGAGCCAAGGAGGGGCCAATGAAGAGGTAGGCGCTCTGGAAAGAGGTAAGTGGTTCAAGACCTGAAGAGACAGTGAAAAGAAGGAAAAACTCTAGGACAATACAGAATTGGTATAGGCTGGAGGCTCAGTGTTGGTACCACTCTTTAAAAAATACCAAGTTGGAGTTTCCAACAAAGTGGGAGGAAGTCCCCTATCAACTGGAACACCATAGCTGATGCCTGTGGAGAAAGGGCCCTTGATTGAGCCTGGAGAAGGCAAATTATTGCATTTTAGCTTGACAAGAAGATAAACAGAGAGCTGCAGCCTGGGGAGGTGAATAAACTATTTAGCCCATGGACGGCCGTTTAGGACCATGTTGTTTTTAAATGTCTTGGTTGCCCCCAAAAGGAGAGAACTCTTATTGAGGTTTGGCCAGAGAGCTAAACCCCAAATTGCCCATTTGTTAGGGAGAAACTACCCACCACTGGCTGAATAAGGGAAAACAGAGTAGTGATATCAGAAAGGTAAGAAGCCCATTACACACACATGTAATTCTTATGGAAAGGTTAATATACCCATAGGTAGGTAACTACTACTGAGAGACTGTCAGGCATTCTGTATACATCCCTTCTAAAACCAAAGCTTGCATGTGTGGTTTTTAATAATGCATTGCTAACCCACATGCCCCAATTGGGTTTGTCACCTCATTGTTATTTAAAGCTCTTAGCCTTTAAACAATAACTGAGCTTGCAGTTATACCTGAAACAGGAAGAAGTCATTCCAGCCTCACTCCTTTGGTTTACTTCAGCCACACCACCCTGGCTTTCCACTATACCCACTGGCACCCTTTTGAGAGAAATTTGGGCAGGAACACTTTGAGGGGCTGAGGATGTTCACAGCCATGGTGGGAACTACAGCTCTACACTACTGCTTTTTGTAAGCCTGTTCTACACATAAACCCCAAACTCCATTTCTCTGCGTGCACACAGCTTCCATTAGTGGAAATGGGAGCTACAGGCCCAATCCTGCATCTATGGAAATCAATGGTATTCGGCCGCAGTCTTCCATAGGGACAGGATAAAACCCTATGTGCACATCCAGGGCACACAGCTCATTAAAGGAACGAAGTACAGAAAGAACCCACTTCTCTTTGGTCCTTAGGCACTACTGTTATAAACATGCTGAATAATAATAATTAATAATAATAATAATGTTACCTTGATCCTCTACCTCTGCCAGCATATCAACTAAGTAGTTAAGTGGCAGAAACTCTACATGGACAGACAGTCTGTCCACCACTGGTCTGTTATGCTGTAAAGGAAAAACACTTTATATTACTTCACAAAAGTGGTAAAGTAGCTACTTAAATACTGAGTTAAAAGTGGCTAACAGTCCAAATGGTAGAGTATACATTGGGCTCAAGACTATCAAAGCTAAAAGATTAAAAAGCAAGCAATTGCCACCACCAAACTCTTACCTGTCTCTTCCTAAGTTTATCAAGCAAAAGTTTAACAGAGTTCCTTGCAATAAAATTAGAGTTGACAGGATGATTCCACAGCTGACTGACCTTGTGACCAATTGCCTATTAAGCAAAAAACAAACATAAAATAGATGCAATGCAATAGTGAGTCTATTGCCCTTACGTGGCAGTTTCTGTCACAATAGGTCTCGCTACCTAATGACTCAACACCAGAGTCAGAGTACACTTAGAATCATTCCATTCTCCTTCCCAACAGTGCCCAATGGCTCATTATAGATTCCACACTGTGAGCTGTACCTCAACTGACTAAACCATTCCTAGAACAAAAGACAGAAGACAAAGAAAGCTTTGACACTTTTTTTTTTAAATGCAGCCAAGTAAAGAAACTCTTTTTACAGAAAAATTCTATTGGTACTTTCAGTGATTGGAAACATACATATACAAGTCAACAGGACAGATGAAGTTCACCCTAGAGGATGTAAGGAACTAGCCAAAGCAATCTCTGAATCGTTAATGATTATCTTCGAGAACTCAAGGACAAGTGAGGTCCCAGAAGCTGGAGAAGGATAAGCATCGTACCATTTCCAAAAAGGGGGAGAAAAGGAAGTCCCACAGAATCAGACCAATGAGCCTAATTTTGATACCCAGAAAGTTACTAGAACAAACTATAAAATAATCAATTTGTTCAAACCTGGAGGATAATAAGGTGATAGCTAAGATTGGTTTGGCATGATTTGTTCTTGACAAATCCAGCTAATTTGACATGGTAACCAGGCTAATGGACAGGGAGGAAGCAGTAGACATTATATATCTGGACTCTAGTAAGGCTTTTGACACTGTCCCACATGACATTCTTGTTAGCAAACTTATATGGTCTAGATGAAATTACTATAAGGTGGGGGCACAACTGGTTGAAAGATCAGACTCAAAAAGTAGTTATCAATGGTTCACTGTCAAACTGGGAGGATATATCAAGTAGTGTCCTTCTGGGGTCTGGTACTATTCAGTATTTTCACTGATGACTTGGATGATAGAGTGGAGAATATGCTTATAAATTTGGGGACAGCACTAAGCAGGGAGAGGTGCAAGCACTTTTGAAGACAGGATTTGAATTCAGAATGATCTTGATAAACTGGATAATTGGTCTGAAACAAACAAGACGAAAATCAATTAAGACAAGTGCGAAGGACTACCCTTAGAAAGGAAAAATCAGTGCACAGATACAAAATGGGGAATAACTGGGTAAGCAGCATTACTGCTGAAAATAGTGGGGGTTATATTGGATCACAAACTGAATACAAGTTAATAGTGTGATGCTGTGGCAAAAAAGGCAAATGTCATTATGGGACATATTAACAGGAGTGTCATAGGTAAGAGATTAGAGGTAACTGTTCTACTCTACTAGATACTGGTGAGACTTCAGCTGGAATACTATATCCAGTTTTGGGCACCACATTAAGAAAGATGAGAGTTCTTTTTGCTTCCTGTAACAACAAGAATCTAGTGTGGTAAGAAACCTCATCGATTAATAATTGGGTAAAACCAGACCTATGGACTTAGATTGAAATGGTAATTATACATGCAAAACCAAACCACAGTATGCATTATAAAATGACATTGGAATAGCTTGTACTGCCCTAGACCATATATATTTTTAACAAGTAGTGAAGTTGGACAGGAGTAGGAAACTCCATGAATTAAAGGGAAATGCTTATTAATCCCAGTTTTAACATGGATCACCAATGCTAAATATAAATAGAGCTAAAAAAGCCCTCTTTCCTCAATGTAATAATCACCCCCCTCCCAATCACTGTTAAACTTAAAGAAAATGTATATGTAGCTAAGGCCTTGAACATACACAAGGTGAATTTCATCCCTGTTCAGTGGACCAGCATGCACTATTTAATTCCCTGGTAAGCCATCTTATGATGATTTACATGGGACTTAAGTCTTGAGCTCAGATCAATTTCATAACAACTGGATCCAAAACTTTAGAAGCACCCCATGCAGTTACCTCAGGAAGCCTTGTAAAGATACTAAATTTTAGCTTTTCATTCTTCTCAGTGTTGTCCAGATCTACAAATTAGAGAGAGAAATAAACAACTGACCATGACTTCAGGGCTATGGCTTCTTAAATGAACTCAACAGCAAAATACACATTAACTTCTATTACACACACACACACACACAAACACCCCTCACCCTTTGAGATAACAGATTTGAATGTAATTATTCAAACCTATTGGGAACCATTAGAATTTGAAGCATCACCTTCCAAAAGCATAACAATTGTTTCACAACCCTGGCAATAACAAGAAATGGGGTACTGTATAAATCTGTACCTATTTTCTTTTATCCACTGGGTAAGTATTGTGTTACAGGTTTGATTACAGTAGCATAACTGCTTTAGTTAGGTTATAGTGTGGTACAGTAGAACCTCAAAGTTACAAACAGCAGAGTTACAAACTGACCAGTCAACAACACACCTCATTTGGAACTGGAAGTACACAATCAGGCAGCAGCAGCAGGGGAAAAAAGAAAGCAAATACAGTACAGTACTGCATTAAATATAAACTATTAAAAAAATAAAGGGAATGCAGCATTTTTCTTCTGCATAGTAAAGTTTCAAAGCTGTATTAAGTCAATGTTCAGTTGTAAACTTTTGAAAGACCCACCATAGCGTTTTGTTCAGAGTTGCAAACATTTCAGAATTACGAACAGCCTCCATTCCCGAAGTGTTTGTAACTCTGAGGTTCTACTGTATTGCTGTATTCCAATAACTGATTCAGATAAACTGAGTTATGCGAACTGCTCCCTTTGAGCTAAAAGGGCAATGAACATAGTTGTGGTCATTCTATGGTTTATGAAGCCACAAGCTGGTTTTATGAAGATGTTGGCTTTATGATGACTGCATAAAGTTGGTCCTATGCCAAGAAACACAAAGTAGGATAATCTGGCTGTAAATTTGGGCAATAATTCAAGAAGATAGTGATTGGCGTATATGAGAAGTGATTGTGCAGAACATGATTTTCATATGCTGCTTTGTACACTATTTCTTCTTTTTAAATGTTCACAAAACATAGCTGAAAGAACAGGGGTGAGTTTCTTAGCCTACTTACAAGAAAGCCTAATGAAAATAACCACTCTGGAGGTGTAATAGCATATTTTAAAAGTTCTTTAAAGCATGATTGTCTTAAACTCCTGGTTTTTTTCTTTTAAAAAGACTTTATTGCCTTGTGCAGAATTTCTGGACATTCCACTAATGCCAGCACTAAAAGCATTTTGTCTGTTGTATAAATCTGAGGAAGCTTGCTGAGGCAAGCTAATCCAGTTATTTTGAGGGCGAGGTCTTTTTTTAAGCTATTGATAAAGCCTATGAAAATCATTAATGTTAACGTTTCTATAAATTTCCTAGTTTAAAAACGAGACTGGGATCCATGTGGTGATCTGCTGAAATTCTCCCAATGGATATTTCATGGTCTATCACATCAGGGATAGTGTTATGTAGGCTCATGCCCAGTTTTGTCCTCTGGAACAGCTGTGCAATCACACTGACTTCAAAGCAGCTCCACAGGAATAACTTTCAACAATAACTTTCAATTCTAAGTGCAGAATTGAACCTTCGGCCCTTGTATTTTTCCTCTATGTACTGTAAGAAAAAAAAACCTCAAAATTTTTAAAAAGCAGCAGCCAGTTGTGCAAAGAGCCATGGGTGTCCCTTTGAAATATATAAAGGGTATCCATTTCCAAAGCAGACTTGTTACAAAGGAATGTAATCTAAGTGTCTATTGTTAAATCCACCATACCTTTCAAAAGTTTTATAGCGCATGTCTCAGTCAGCTGTAACACCCCATTATCAATGTAATGCAGCAGGGTATGCAAAGGCAGACATCTAACTCCAAGCCCCATGTGCAAAGTATGAAAACCTGCAAAGAAAGCACCACTTGTTTGTGCAACAGAAATACAAACAGTTTTGTGCAAAGCCTCTAATTACAGCCGTGCCATCCATAGCACTAAAGCTTAGTTGATAACAATACTTCCTTTACGAACACATATACTTCTATTTGTGGGAGGAGAGGAAGAGTTTATCAACACTTGCCATACAAAAATGTTAGTCTTCATGTTATTTAAACACCTCCACTCTCTGCAACAGTATTAAGTTACAGTTGAATACATCAATTTGAAGGGCAATCAGGGCAATCAGTTCAAACTGATACTATGTTACAATACGGTAAAAACCCTTCTTCCTCAAAGGATTTTCTACTTATAATGTGAAACTGCTGAGTTCCCGTTATCTTAACACACACTGCAAGGAACAGGAAATGAAACGGGGGAGTCTGGAGACATGCCATAAAGTTGTTACTTTATTTTAAAATATTTTTAATTCACAAAAGAGTGCTAAATATTCTATAAATTGTTTGTTTGCATTTAAAATTTCTTATGCATGTGTCTTTTAGTCCCCCCTGCTTAATCAATCAAGAAATAAACCTCAACATGCGTTATATGTGGTTACTATCCATGCTCCAGCATAGCATGAACCAGCACAAAAATGGCATCAATGCTGAGGGAGTTTTGAGATTCATGTTTCTGATCTAATAGACTCAGATCTATCCCCCCAGCATGTGGTTACACACATACTTTGGTCTCACAACTAACAGTATGATGATAAGCCAAATCCTTTTGCAGAAACATTCTTAACTGGATTAAAATCCAGACAAAATCTATCAGGTGTCTGTAAGCCCCTTACTGCTTTGGCAAATTAAACAACAACATGAGATTTACAAAAATTAGTGTTAAGAAATTCTTCTTAAAATTTAAAAAGAAAGTGCTTTGAAAATTCTATGGGGGATAATCAGAAGCTCTTGGTAATGGTAGTCTAGCACCATCAAAAGAAAAACTGGCACATTTTCATTACACCCTTTGTCCCATGGATTTCTTGAGACAAACTCCTTTCTAATTTATCTCTGTGGGCCCCTTTATATAGTCCCTGTACCTGTAACAGATTGAATAGCAACTTTAAAGTGCCTTGTAGCATTCTCACTCTTCATTTTAAATTAAGTCAACATTTTCCCATCTTTTCTCTCCCTTCTTCCTTGTGTCCCCAACTGAGACATCAGTTCATCTGGATGGAGGTAAGGGTCACTTATGATCAGAGGTGAAAGTAAGCCGGTATGGTCCGGTACACCGTGTGGGACTGGACTGGCTTCTCCGGCAGCGCTTTAAAGGGCCCGGGGCTCCAGCCACTGCGGGAAGCCCCGGGTCCTTTAAATCCCCGCTGGAGCCCAGCCACCCCAGGGTAGCGGCGGCAGGGCTCCCGCAGGGATTTAAAGGGCCTGGAGCTCCGCAGCAGCCGGAGCCCCGGGCCCTTTAATTTGCCCCTGAGCCCCGGGGCTCCCAGCTGCCTCTGCAGCTGGTAGCTCTGGGGTGATTTAAAGGCCCTGGAGCTCCCAGCCACAGCTGGAGCCCCAGGGCCTTTAAATTTTGAAAGGCCCCGCCTCTTTCAGTTGAGGCCACGCCCCCGCTCAGGACTCCGTACCGGTAAGTCCTTTAAGTTACTTTCACCCCTGCTTATGATCATCTTTCCCAACAGATCAAGATCACATTAACATGATGTTTGTACTCCAGTAGCCTAAAAAGCCAAAGTCACAATATTTCCAGGCCAAAGTTTCTGACTAAGCAAAACAAGAGAGTCATTCTACTCAAGTAGATTTTTGTTAAAGTATTTCAGACTGAAGAATTGGTTGCTACTCCCAAAAGCAGGACATGAAGCATCTAATGAACAGTCCAGCATCTAAAATTGTAGATTCAGGGGTTGGTTTATGGTAATGAGATACAGAGCCTTCATATTACTGGTTCAAGTTTGCGGCAGAGTGTCCAAGAGCAGTTACTGTGTCAGTTGGTTGGTGACCCTTCTGAAAACTGGCACTAACTGAAATCTTTCAATCTCTGCAGTCTTCAAAGACTGCACAGACACGGAAATGAAAGCTTCGATAGTGCAAGCTGCTTCACACGAGCAGCCTCTTAAGCTGCAGTCAATGGACATCTACATGGGCACAGGGCTCACCCTTGGGGGCAGCTGCAGGATCAGGGCCTCTACTCCATCCTCACAGCTGGAAGTTCAGGGCTGAAATACATTAGCAGGGCAGCATGGAAAAAACAGTTTTGCCACTGGATGTCATTTACGTTGGTAGCCCTTAAAACTGAAAGTCCAACCCAGCTACTTTCTGAACTAAAAATTCATTAAAAAGGGGAAGGAAAAAAACCCCTAACTCTGGGTGACGCTTTCCCACAGAATTGAAATGGTGCTCAGAAGTGAAACTTTTCAAAAACTCCATGATTTGCCATCTTTGTTGTAACTATTGACGTTTGTTTTATTTCACTGCAGGTGTTTATGGAGAGCTCTTCCCCACACAGCTGTACTGAGTACATTTCAGGCCTGCCAAAGTTAATACAGCTTGCACTTACTGTAAATGCTATTTGTCTGGAAGAAATTCAAAGCAATGCTCTTATTCTCAAGGGTGGAATAAAATAATGAAATGTAGAGCTCCAGTGTCACAGGGCTTACCAGGGGGCAGGGGTATACACATTCCATTGGCAGCTTCTAGAATCCGACTCATGATGTGGAAAGCTGCAAACTCTGCCGCGCTTCCTCGCTCGTCCCTGCATTTAATAAAACAGCCTGTTAGCAGCCAAAGACATCGAACTCCCCTCATGGCTTAGTCACTTTGTGTCACAGTTAAATGAACGCATTTTAAACAGAAGGAATTCATTGTCCTGAGATACCATCTTGGTTTATTTAAGAGTTAAAGTTACTGGATTCTAGTTCTTGTTAACAATTTGAAACGTGGCCGTACATAATCTATGTGGAGCCCCCTGCTCACAGCATACATACAAGTCTGCCATTAAACAAAGAACTACAACTTTCTAAGTAGAGTACCTAAAGTTAGACACTTCCTGTCTGTAGGTATCTGCATAGGGATGTAAGTGGCCTGATTTTTCAGCACCCACAACCCAGACTCAAACCAATAGGAGCTCAGTGTGGCTTTTCTGTACCCCCGCCCCCAACTAGTTGAAGCTGTCCTCTGTTGCCTACCTGGTGCTGGGTTTTCAGTCAGGTGTTAGCAATATAAATACTACCAAAAACCACTCATGGCAAGGTGGACTTGGCAAAACCATTTTGCCACATTCTATAAAACTTGCTGTAGATTAATGGAAAACTCTTGCTTACAAGCAGAGAACACAGGACTGAAGACTGTATTTCCTCCAAACAGCTTCCATTATCCGACAGATCAGATCCAGCTAAAACAAAAAGGGATGTGGATGAGTTCTTGTGTGGAAGGCCATTAGCCTCTGCTAGCATTTCCAACACCAGTTCACATGATATCAATGTGTGGATTTTAGGTCTCCTCTGATTATTCCAATCAGGACTTCAGTCGTTCCCCATCACTTTCCCAACCTCTGAGATGGGGGAGTTGCCTCCTTTAATCAATCAATGTCTCTCTCATGCACAAGAAATCCTAAAGCTAAATTCTGAATTCACCAGTATCCCTACAGTGTGCACAGCCAAGCCAGCCAACACACATTATTTAACTACAAACAGATGTGAAAAGACTCCGTGATTGTGAGGCAAATGAAAACATAATGGCTACCTGGTTGGGCCTTTTGGTGGGGGAAGGACTCAAGGTCCCAACCCAATTGACTAATGTTAAAAGCAGTGGGATATTCAATTCGCTGCACAAGTCTAAAGGGGAAGGAGGGGAGACCACAAGCTTCCTGCCTGTGAGTTGCAGACCCAGCAAGCAAGAGGCGAGTGCACACAAGTGAGCTTTTCTCCTCAGACCCTCCCCAGTTCAGTCTCTCTTCTTAGCTGATTTCCAATACCCACAAACAAGTGTTCAGCCCACACAGTCTTTCTTGTGCTCCCTGGCTGACCTCCAGCTCAGAACTATTGGCCAGTGCTAGCTCCTAGCTCCACTCACCAGAACCTGCCCTTGTATGAGAATGTTGAAAGGATTCCCTAAACATGCTCAGGGCAGCGTGCAAGTCCAGCCTCATTACCAAAACCTCAACTGCCACATAGGGCTGTTTGGAATAATCCCATTCATGTTAAATGAGAAGTGTTTTTGTAGCTCAACACCACCGCAAACATCTGGCATGTCTCTAACGCCGTTCATCTGGGGGGCTCAAAATTCTTTAGAAACACTAGTTTGAAGGGATTAACTGAACACTCCTAAGGCAAGTATCATCCCCATATTCCTGGGGGTATACGAAGGCACAGAGAAGTTAAAGTTTACTTCCCCACGGTACAGTGATGAACTCCTTGTACAAGCCAGATAACTCTGACTAACATTCCAATATTTTCCAAGTTCGAAACTTTTTGGACGTGATGGGAAATTCCAGTTGAAATACTCTGGAGTTCAGCAGTTTCTCTTTCATTTCCAGGAAATGACAATGACTTCCAATTTTCAGGCATGAGCCAGAAAAATCACACCTCCTGTCTGGAAAGGCTTTCATTTCTGGTCCAGCAAGCAACAGAGTCCTTAGTCTAACTACACTCTGGCTACCTCTGGAGTTTTAGCTATATCTGAAGATCGGCACATAGTAGGGAAGAGAAGTTTCTAAAGGAGTTCCCAACAGTTATGCCACAGTGATTTGCTATGCTATTACTTGCATGACAATATTGGATGACTGCAGGGACTTGGTAGAGTTTGAGTAAGCACATACTTATCCAGCGTCTACCCAGTTCAGAAAAATTGCAGCTTACAGGTGTCATTTGGTTCAGTTATACTGATGTAACCAAGTTTTGAGTGTGTGCAAGTCTTTTTATGTTGTTTGTATTGGGGGAGGGATAGCTCAGTGGTTTGAGCAGTGGCCTGCTGAACCCAGGGTTGTGAGTTCAATCCTTGAGGGGGCCACTTAGGGATCTGGAGCAAAATCAGTACTTGGTCCTGCTAGTGAAGGCAGGTGGCTGGACTTGATGACCTTTCAGGGTCCCTTCCAGTTCTATGAGATAGGTATATCTCCATACATTTTGTGGGGAAGGATAGCTCAATAGTTTGAGCATTGGCCCACTAAACCCAAGTTTGTGAGTTCAATCCTTGAGGGGGCCATTTAGGGATCTGGGGCAAAAAAAAAAAAAGTTGGGAATTGGCCCTGCTTTGAGCAGGGGGTTGGACTAGATGACCTCCTGAGGTCCCTTCCAACCCTAATATTCTATGATTCTATTCTGATAGCACTTCAGAGTCCCCACTGTGCTAGGCTGTACAAAGACAATCCCTGCCCCACAGTTCCTGCAATCAAATATACAAGACAAAGTGCAGGGAAAAGGAAGCATTGTTGTTGTTTTCCAGATGGGGGACAGTAAGTGACTTGCCCACTGTCACCTAGTGAGTCTGCGGTAGAACAGGACATGAACATTAATCCAGTGCATTAACCACCAGAACATTCTCCATCTCAGTAAGAGTGAACATGGAGTAGAAACTGGTAGAGCAGTATAAGCCTCATCTCTTGGTACACTTAAAACTGAACTGGAGAAAATCCAGATTAAAAAAACATCAGTAGCAAAATGGACTAGACCAGCCAATACTGCAGTGACAGGGCTAATATTTTCTAGAGCGCCTATGCCACTTTTGAATTTTTGTGCCTTACTTTCCGAGATGCTGAGGTTCCACTGAGGTACTCAGCCACTCTGGCTTTTCTAAGGTACTTCTGTGATGATTAAGGCTGCATGTTTGTCACGGAGATCACGGAAGTCATGGATTCTGTGACTTCTGCAGCAGTCAGCAGCAGCAGTTTGGGTGTGTGGGAGGGGACTCAGGGCTATGGCTGGGGCAGAGGGTTGAGGTACAGGGGGGCACTTACCTGGGGGTGGCGCTTCCTGGCTCCCACCAGCGTGTCCCTGCAGCTCATAGGCGGAGGGGCCCGGGGGCTTTGCACACTGCTCGTGCCTGCAGGTGCTGCTCCCGCAGCTCCCATTGGCTGTGGCTGCCGGCCAATGGGAGCTGCTGAGCTGGCACTTGTGGCAGGAGCAGCGTGTGGAGTCCCCCTGGCCTTCCCTCCCCCTACAGCAGACCCCCGGACCAAGTTTTAGTCAGGGGTCTATAGTAAAAGTAATGGACAGGTCATGGGCTGTGAATTTTTGTTTACTGCCCATGACCCATCCATGACTTTTACTGAAAATACCCGTTACTAAAACGTAGCCTTAGTGATGATCTATGAAGGCCAAGAACAAAACTAAACCCATTTTTCATTACTTCCTGCTTTGCTGGTTCCTGCCCTGCCATACATTGCTGAGATTACATTAAAGAATGCTGGAAAGAGAATCACATTCAGGCCACCTGACCGGTAAATGGGGTATGGGAAACAGGGGGGGGAGCAAGTGAGGCAATTTGCCCCAGACCCCGGGCCTCGCAGGGGCCCCCACGAGAATATCGGAGGCTCCCACCCTCCTCTGCCTTCGCCTTCCCCCATCCCCCGGCGCCTTAGCGCGCCGCGTCCAGGAGCGGCCCTGGACAGCACTGCAACGGCATGGCTCGGGCAGGGCCTGAGGTCCTCCTGCTCGGAGCTGCGTGGTAAGGGAGCGGGACTGCGAGCTCTGGTGGGCCGAGCGGCTGGAGCTCCTGGATGCGGCTCGCTGAAGCTCTGGGAGAGGGGGGAAGCGGCATGGTAAGACCCTCTGAGCCGGGCACCCCCAGACCCCAACTACGAGCCCAGCCCCTCTGAACCGGACACCCCCCCCCGACCCCATCCCCCCACAACCCTGACCCCCAGCTCCGAGCCCAGCCCCTCTGAGCCAAGCACCCCCCGACCCCGTCCCCCCACAGCCCTGACCCCCAGCTCCAAGCCCAGCCCCTCTGAGCTGGGCACCCCCCAA